AACAGCATTGACGAAGACCATTGCAAATAGTTGTTGCCGTTGAGTTTGTGGCCGGTGATGAACGATGAAGACTGTTCCACCAGTTCGGTGTTGATGGGTGTAGGTAGATAAGCACCCGAGAGTTCTTTGGGTGGAGAGGAATTTTGCTCATCCGCTGCCATCTAAGGATTCGGCTTAGTCGGATTGAAGCTTCTAGATTAGAGATGCTTTGATACCATGAAGATTTTAGGGAAGGAAGATGAAGATTTTCGAGAGAAAATGAATTCATTCTCTAATTTTCCTTGCATTACAGAATAAGAAGGGTGCTATTGTATAGACATCTGGCACCCGAAAAATATCCTAACAGAATGAAGAAAAAGGAATATTGTGGTAACGGGCATTCCTACCTGTCCACAATAAATTCACACAAAATTACTAAACTACCCTTTTATGATTTTCTACACCTCCCACTACTGCGGTCTTCCAACAAGCAAGATAATGAGCACTCACCCACCAAAACCTCCTCACATCTGAAGGACTCCTTCCATAAAACTAAGATCCCACCTGATGTCCCGATGTCCTTGAGTGTACTCTTCTCTCCTTTATTAATATTATTTATTTTTCTATTCAAAAAAATACATATATATATATATATATATATCTATTCTTCAAAGTGATTAGGTTGCCATTTAGTCTTAATAAGTTGGCTTTATCTCTGTGTAGTTTTAAGTCTTGCTGGAGAATCTTTGTAAGTCTTGTTTGTAACAATTATCCCCCTTTCTAATAATATTTTCATTAACAAGGCATAATTTGAAGCAAGCACATCATATGATCAAGTTTTATGTTTTCTTTCTCAAAAACATTTTAACTTTATTCAACGGATCATTTGTTAATTGGAGGGGGAGGAAGGGATCAAGCAATTGTGCAATTTGGTGGGCCACTGGCATTGGTGCCTATCATAGTGGAAACATATTTTTCTCTTTGATTTTTATAAGCCTTCCATCTCAGCTGTTCAATCTCTGTGTTTTAGGGTTAGAGATAATCTTAAACCTCATGTGGGGGATGTTGATGCTGCAGCAGTTCCATGTGGCTTTGGGCGAGCAATTGGTAATAAGGTGTGCCTACTATCATGTAGCTGATAATTTGTTAATTTACAGTTACGATTTAGAAATCGTACCACAGATTATTGGACTAACCATTTTCAGTGGTTCTGTAATTTTCAATATTCTCTTCAAGATTTGTTAATAATGTTCTAATGTGTTGTTTTTACATATATCTGTATGCTTACAAACTAACAAGCAAATACTTTGGTTCAAAATAGAATAAGCTGTTTTCTTATAAAATATCTTAGCTGGTTCTCTTTGGTTGTTATTATTAATGTGGCTAATTGTTGCCTGAGCAGGGTGCTGTTGGTTTGAGAATTAGAGTTTATGATCGAATAATATGCTTTGTTAACTGTCATTTTGCTGCGCATTTGGAGGCTGTGAATCGTCGCAATGCTGATTTTGACCACGTCTATCGAATTATGACCTTCTCTCGGCCATCTAATTTCTTCAATACAGCAGCAGGTATGCTGCCATACCTGTTTTTATCGTGGTCGCTTGCCTGCTCAATGTATTTATTTTGGCTTGTTTATAGATCTAGCTTGCCATTGGTCCTTTCTGTTGCAGCTGTGGCTTCATCTGCTGTTCAAATGCTTCGCAATACAAATGTATGTATAAACTTTGATTGGTAAAGCAACTCCTCAGCATGCTACATTTTAAGTTAAATTAATTTTGTTTTAAATATGAGATTTGTTGTTTTTCAATTAGTCTGATAAAGAATTTGCGTGTGGATAGGCTGTAGGCATCCAGTCCATGGAAGGAATGCCTGATTTGGCTGAGGCAGACATGGTCGTTTTTCTTGGAGATTTTAATTACAGGCTTGATGGTATATCTTATGATGAGGCAAGGGATTTCATTTCTCAAAGGTGCTTTGATTGGCTTAGAGAAAGAGACCAACTCCGAGCTGAAATGGGCGCTGGTAATGTCTTCCAAGGGATGCGTGAAGGAGTTATTAGGTTTCCTCCTACATACAAGTTTGAAAAGCACCAGGCTGGTTTAGCAGGTATGGTGATTAAATTAAATTTTTTAAGTCAATGCTAGCATTTTATTGGGCCTGGGATTATCTTCTTGGAGCATAATGGGCATTTTAGGTTTCTAGAGTAGTGTTATACTGTTTGCTAATTTTTTTCTACACTAAAATATACAGGATATGATTCTGGGGAGAAGAAGCGAATTCCTGCCTGGTGCGACAGAATTTTATATCGTGATAGCAGATCAACTTTGGGATCTGACTGCAGCCTAGAGTGTCCCGTTGTGTCTGCTATATTACAGTATGTTTAGCATATTGCACTGCACTGTATATCCGGATTTTTAGTGAATACATTTGTTGAAGATATTTTCTTTGCATTTTATGCACTCTTTAAGTCTCTTTTTGGCTTTTGATTAACGTATTTCTGAGGTTATTTTGATTAATGACACCTAGATTGTGATGATCAAATGATGTCTATATTTGTAGATCTATGACATGCCAAAATGGGAAAATATTATCTAGCACCTTTCTTATTAAACAAGGATCCCTCTGGTTTTTTAGAGGGTTGTGACCCTTGTCATAGATGCAATTTGATTCTCAGTACTGTATTTTGTGCACATACTGTCTGCTTGCTTTTCAATTAACACATTTCTTGGGTAATCGTAATTTAACAATGCAAAAAGAGTCTGATGGACATGCCAAAATGGGGAATATGATCTAGTACTTTTCCGATTGAAACATGTGCCCCTTCTGCTTTAGAGGGATCCGAAGGTTATCATATTGCAACTGGATCCTCATGACTGTCACTATGTTTATGCTTCTATACAGTTACTTATTTTTTTTTTTTGTTTTGTTTTGTTTTTCTTTTTTCTCAGAGGTGTTAGGTTGCTTGAGTTCTTTTGAAATATCAGTTTTTTGTATTATGGAATTGAGAAAGAAACTGAATTCCTTGTATATTGAGAATGAACTTATACATGGTATATATAGCTTTTACAAACAGACAATAATAATTACAGGAAATCAAATGAAACCAAATCAAATCTCCATATTAGTGGGACTTCAGAACCAGTATCTCATAATTTTTAGGCAAATTAATCTCCTAATAGAAGGTTGAGGGAGTTTCCAACACTTCCCCACAAATTGGTGATATACATCTTTTATTCTTAGCTTGGAGATAAGTCCTTGGAACATCGCACTACTGAGTCCTTTTGTCATCTACAAGTTGACTGTTAGTTGAGACATAAGTAATCCAAATTAATCCACTATCCAACTTTTCTTTCAGGAAGTGTCTATTACTTAAATGTGTTCTATCATGTTGTGTAGGATTATGAGCAATGTAAATGACAAATTTGTTGTCACAAAATAATTTTTTTGGCTATTTCCATCCGATCTTTAAATCTCTCAAAATTATCTTGGTCCATAGTCACTCACATGCTCCTTTATCGTTGCCTTGGACTTGATCTCTGCAGTTGATTAAACCACATTCTACTTCTAACTCCTATAGGTCAAAAGATTTCTTTCAAAGAAAGTACAATAACATGTAGTAGACCACTTATCAACTGATGAACTTGCATAATTTGCATTGGCATATACCTCGAGGACCAATTTTTTTTTTTTTAATAGAATTACTTTGCCAATATTAGCTTTTAGATAAATATCAGATCCTTCAGACTATATGAATGTGAATTTCCCCTGGGCCATGCATGATTGGCTAGCCATGCTGAAGGCATATGTAGTGCCTAACCTTATGTGAGTAAGATTTATTAGTTTTTCTACCAGTCTTTTGTACATCTTTCTATCTACAGTTGGATCTTCAATTGGATGTTCATGTGCTAGTTGAGGGAAAGTTTTTGAATTTCATTGACTTAATTCTCAAGATCTGGTTTTTGTTCTTGAACTTGCACAAGATCATAAATCAAGTTTCTTTATCTTGAATATAACTTCATAAATCTCATTGAATCATGAAACTAATTATTCTTTCTCATGGGTCTGGTGGGAATGGTTGAGGGTGTTGACACGACTGAGATAATTCGGTTGGTGGTATAAGTTGGACTGGTAAGACGACTGTGTTCGTGGAGTCGTCATGCAAAAAGAAGTCTCTGTTCTTCTTTGTAGTGGATGACACCAGAAAGAATCCGCACTGTCCCTGAGGATGTTGACACAACTGAGGTGATTCGACAGGTGGTACCAATTGAATTGGTATAGGGACGACTTTGTTTGTGGAGTCAAGAAAAAAGAAGTCTTTATTCTTCTCTGTAGTGGAGGACACTAGAGAGAATCCATATTGTCCCCTTGCGAGGATCTTGACAAATCTTAATGCAGAACCCAGGATTAAGAATGCAATTCGAACTCACACATACACAATTAGCATAAAAACTTATTTCCTAAATAAACTCGTCTTACTTAACAAACAATTAATTTGTGATTGGAACTAAAGTAATAGGGTATAAACAAATTGATTAGAATACCATAAGAAATACCTTGATAAATTGAAATCAATCAAAGAAATAAAAATAAAAATGCCACAAATTATCTTGATAAGTTGATAACAATTTTTTACGTAACAAGAAGGTTGAAGTACCTCACAAGTAGCAAACCTTATTGATTTAACTTGCCTTAAACTGAATTACAACTGAATACAGGAGGCCTATTTATAGATGTAGGCTGTTAGTTGCCTTAAAGGAAAAGGACTCTTAAATGATTAAGGACTCCTAACTACAATGCTTATCTAGGATTGTTAAAGATCATAATTTACAGATGATAAAGTTCATATAATAAGGACTCTTTACTCTTGAATGAAGGACGAACAATAGTAAGGACTCTTTAGCTATCCCTGTTGTAGAAGAAAGCCTCAGCCATGACTCTTAATTTGATAGGAAGATGAGTGAAAATCCAGCCAATTGTTGTAGGAGAAGAACTCTTATTCTTGAGTAGATTGAGGATGAGAATTGGCCAAGATATTGTGGGGTAAGCATACTTAATTCTCCACATGTTTAATACGTCTTTAGAAGTGAAGTAATCGGATAGGACTCTTGTGGGATGAGTGGTTGGCTCCCCATACTTGTAAAGGATGATATACTTGAGAGTCCAACAACTTAAGCACTCTTGCAGCTTTGGGATTGAGTTGTAGAAGACTTGGCTAAGCGTCCAAAATTGGTAGGACTCCTTATGGAAGATTACCTTGTGTTCAACCACCAATTTCAGAATAAGGATTCTTGATCCCTTATGAGATTTACTTGAAGTTGAAAACCAATCATGAAGAGATGAGTGTTTGGCCAAGTGTCCCATACTTTTAGGACTCTTATTATCACATATTTAATATGCTCCACGAGCCCATCCAAGCTATTCATGATAAGAGGATTGAATGACAAGGAGAATACTTGGCCGAGAGTCCAAGATCTTGAGGACTCTTGATGTCTAGCTTGTAGATACATGCTTGGCTGAATATCCCTCACTGTAGGACTCTTTGTTGGCTGGTTGTAATGAATTACACATGGATAAAAAACTCTTGTGAAGGGACTAGCCGAGAATCCTTGAGTTGTAGGACTCTTTGGTACTCAGATTTCTTGGATTGTAGGACAATTTAGTGGCCGCCGCCTCTCCCTTGGCCTGATGGAGTCGTCCTCCACTTTTCAAGACCTCGCCAGTTTGGTCCTAAACTTCCTTTTTCATAGATCCATCTTTTAATATAAACTTGAAAGTCTTTCTTGAGTTTTGATCTTGTGCTTGGTCCACTTGACATAATAATATTCCATCCACATAGCCCAAGTGCACCTTGAGTTTGATCTATCTCAGGTGTTAATCTCCATATGGCCGTTGCTTTCCAAGAATTGGGTCTCAATTTCCACTCATTTGGACCGTGCCGTGAGGATCTTCCCTTGTATGGATCTTGTCGTGACTTTCATCATTCATGGGGCCTAAGCCATGACATCTTAAGCTCATGAGGCTGTGACTCCATCTTGAGTTGTGCCTTAGTCTCTTTTAATGTGGCTGGGACATTCTAAGCTTATATAGCCTTGAGTTCCCTTGTGACCGTGAGCTTTTAAGCTCATGTAATCTCCCATGTGAGCTTGAGTTGTGTCTTGGCCGTGGGTTATGATTTGTGCCACCTTGATCTTCATCAAATATGTCCTCACATTTTCTTGTATTTGCCATATTCTTGTCTTTGTCCACCATTGTTGAACCTTCTAAGATGTAAGGTTCGAGCATAATCCCCTTGCAGCTTTCTCATCTTGAATTAAAGAAATAGTCTCATTTAGAGATGGTACATCTTCTTTGCTAAAAAGTTAAATCTTGTTTCTCAAAATTCAGCGTCATGAAAATTGTAAGCTCGATATTTTTCAGTAAAATTCTTTAAGATTCCAATATCCTATATGCACTTAGTTTCAATGCACTAATAGTGGTCAAGTTCTTGCCACATACTCTATAATAGATTTGCATACTTGGTCACAATTTACTCCCTTGTTTCGTTGTACGAGTTTTAACTTTAATCTCCTATTGTCTTGCTGCATCATAAGTCTTCGAATATGTCTATCTGACAATATCTCAAATCCCCTTAGCAATGGGTAAAAACATGCAGGTGTCACCAATCTCAAGATTTATCGAGTCCTGTAACCATGAAATGATCATTGAATCTGATTCACGTCATGCATCAATTACTGGATGTTCTTCCTTTGGTCATGTCTACTATAGATGACTGAGTTTCTCTCTTTCTTCAATAGGTTTGAATAAACTGAGATCACTTAAGACAATCATCTATTTGGTCTATATTTTTTTTGAATATTTTGGAGCTTCCTTACCGGTTGACTGATGGGAACTTCCTCTGTCTGGTCATGGTGTTGAAAGATGACGTTATCTTTGCCATTTCTAACATGTTCTCCGGAATACCGTTAGGCCTTCTCCTGCAAGGAACCAACAAAAGAGAGTTCAGTAAAAATCCTGGCAGTTGAGGTCGTGGATAGAGACTTCAAGTGCAATGAAGGAACCAACAATGAAGGTTGACTTTGGCATGCATAGGTACACATAGAAAGAGCAGGTGTGCGCTAGGGTGGCCACATGCTTGAGTGGCTTCAGGCAAATGAGGCTGCAAACTTTCTTAGTTCTTTTTCATAATAGAAAAGCAAAAGCACAAACAGGCCGAGAGAAATCCTGAAAAGAGCTTACGACTGATATCATGTGGAATTTAGAGGGGAACTTTATTTCTTATCCCACTGAGAAAGAGCAAATACATTGCTATATATAGTTTTTACAAAGAGAAAAATAGAAAACTAATTACAGCAAAGTAAATCAAATTAAATCCCCGTATCAGTGGAATTCCGTAATCAGTACCCCATAAATTTAAGAAGATTAGATTTGAAATGGAAGATTGGAGGATTTTCCAACATGTTTTTGGATATTAACATTGATACTTGTGACCTTATAAGAGACACTGAGATTCTCATAATTATAGATGGGACTGTGTCTTTTCTTCTTTGTTCTTTGTTTTGTTTCATCTTGTTGGACAGGTGTTTGGTTCATTTAATTTGCATTCAAAAGTTTCAGTTTTCAGTTCCACATTAGTAATTATTTCCAAAGAGAAGTAACATTAATATTATGGCCAATATTGGTTCCCAAAAGAAATTAATTATGACCTATCAATACACTATATATGTATTCATGTAGATTGGTTTATGTCGAGAAGTACAAGTTACGAGGGCATGAACAAGATCAGGTAAGGTTTAGCCTGCATTACTTGTATTATTTGAAGGGTTGCCCCACTCTTGTCCTGGATGTAATGGTATCATCATCGTCATTTGCGTTTGTGTCTGTGCTGTTGATATTAGTATATTAACATTATTAATAATGGTCATTGTGTGTGTTACATGCACTCATGTAATTACTTTATGCATATTTGTGTATGTTAGTGAGTTCAGAGCCATGACATGTCTTTTTCAACAGGTATGAAGTAATGGTATCATCATCGTCATTTGCGTTTGTGTCTGTGCTGTTGATATTAGTATATTAACATTATTAATAATGGTTGTGTGTGTTACATGCATGCATGTAATTACTTCATGCATATTTGTGTATGTCAGTGAGTTCAGAGCCATGACATGTCTTTTTCAACAGGTATGAAGCTTGCATGGATGTGACAGACAGTGATCACAAGCCTGTCCGTGTATATTTAGTGTTGAAATTGCTCGAGTTGATGAGTCAGTTAGGAGACAGGAATTTGGAGATATAATGAGATCAAATCAGAAAATTAAATGCATGCTTGAAGATCTATGCAAGATTCCAGAAACAATAGTTAGTACAAATAATATACTCCTTCAAAACCAGGATACGGCCATTTTACGTATCACTAATAAATGTGAGAAAAGCATTGCTTTGTTTGAAATAATTTGTGAAGGTCAGTCTACTATCAAGGAGGATGGACAAGCATCGGATCGTTGTCCTCGAGGTTCCTTTGGCTTTCCTCGATGGTTTCAGGTAAGTGTTCTTTTTTTCAATATTTTCTTATTGGAGAAAACTGATATAATTGAGACATAAACTGTTTTCCTCCCTCGAATACCCCTCCATAACCATTTGCCATGAAGCGCCACCATTCATTTTTACCAAAGATCTAATGCCAAGCCCCCCGAATGTGATTGGTTCTTTTAAGGCATCCCAATTTACAAGGTGGAATTTACGATTATCATCAACATCTCTCCATAATAATCTGCACTGAATTGCTTCCAATTTTTTAGCCACCTTCACCAGAATAGTTAAGGTAAATAGGTAATACAATGGAAGTTTTGCAAGAGTGCTTTTAATTAGGGTATATCTATCCCATTTTGAAAAAAAAATTTCTTCCACCCCCCTAGTCTTTTCTCAAATAAATCAATAATCGGTTCCTATGTAATTTTATCCTTGTATTTGGCCCCTAACGGAATCTCAAGATATTTGAATTGGAATTTGACCTTCTTACACCCTAAAATCGAAGCATATGTACCAGCTTCTCTGTTGCCGCCAATTCTTGCCAATTCGGATTTGTTCAGATTTATTTTAAGCTCTGACACAAATTGGAACCAATATAAAATACATCTCAAATCCAATAAGTTCCTTAAATCTGGTTGGCAAAAAATAAACGTGTCATCTGCAAAAAATAAGTGAGACACCTCCGTTGTGTTGTCTCTACTACCCACCACAACTCCTCTCAACGAATTAAGGTCTTTTGCTCTACCAAGAAGTCTGTTGAGGCCTTCCATTTCCATAATAAACAATAGAAGGGATAGGGGATTCCCTTGCCTTGACCTTCTTGAGGCATTAAAAAATTTGGAGGGGCTCCCATTAAGCAAAACAGCGAAAGAAGTAGTAGTGATGTAAGATTTCATCCAATTCCTCAATTTCAGCCCAAAACCCATCCTAAACAGCGTGTAGTCAACAAACTTCCAATTGATGTGATCATAAGTTTTCTTCATATCAAGTTTACACACTAAACCATCCTGATTTGTAGTCATAAGATTATCTACCGTCTCATTTGCAGCCATCACAACATCAAAGATTTGTCTGTCTCCCACAAAAATATTTTGACAATCCCCTATAACCTCTCCCAATACCTTGGATAATTTCCTAGCCAACATTTTAGTAATTAATTTATACATAAAACCTACCAAACTAATTGACCTGAAATCTCTGAAATCATTAGCGCCGCTTCTTTTAGGAATAAGGGAGATAAAAGTGGAGTTCAAAGACTTTACAAATTTTCCGGAATGATGCATCTCATTAAATATTTCTATGATATCCACTTTCAGAAGCACCCAGAAAGTTTGAAGGAAATTCATATTAAAACCATCGGGACCCGGAGCTTTGTTACCATTACAAGATTTCAAACACTCAAACATCTCTTCCTCGGAAATTTAGCCTCCAGCATCTGTCTACTTTCCCCAGAAATACAATTAAAATGCAAATCATCCAAATAAGGTATTGTAGCACAAACCTTCCCAAAAAGCTGTAAGAAATGCTCCCTGGCAGCCTCTCTCAGTTCAGTATTACCAGAAATTTCTTATTACCTTCTCAGACTTCTTCAATATAATTGCATCTTCGTCTCTGAGAAGCTAAAGCATGAAAATACTTAGTGTTCCGGTCCCCCTTCGCCAACCATTTCTCGCTGGAATTTTGTCTCCACATCAATTCCTCTTCCTGCAGATACGAAGTCAATTGAAGTTCAAAGTCCCTCTCCTACTACTTTCCTCATCATTCAAACCTACAACTTCCTATTTGGAGTGCAGATCATTAATTTGAGCCAAAACAGAATAAAAAATTACTTTACTTTGCTCCCTCTCCTCCTTTGCCCAAATTTTGACTGCATTCTTCAGATCTTTAAGTTTGTGAACAAACCTGTAACTAGCACAGCCCTGTATAACGCTATTTTTCTAAGTGTTTTCCACCAATTGGTGAAAGTTCTTCTTCTTCAACCACTTGTTATCTAACTGAAAAGGTATCAGACACCAGTGAATTCTGTCTGCCTCAATAGATGTAGGATAATGATCTGATGTTGGCCGAGGAAGTGTTTTTTAACTAACTCCCATCAGATCTAACAGAAAGCAAGAAGAGATAAAGAATCTGTCTATTCTGGACTCTCTTTTCATTAGACCGCGTCCATTGCCCCTTGCATAATGGTAGATCAACCATTCCTAACATCTTCATTGCCTCTTTAAATTCATTAGCTTCTGTGACCGAGAAATTGTTGCCACTTCTCTCTTCCCTTCTCAATGTCATATTAAAATCACCGCCAATAATCCACTTCCCACCCCATCTATTTCTACATTCCTTAACATCGTTCCACAACAATGTTCTTTCCTCCCTATTGCCTCTACAATATGCGCCGGTAAACATCCACTCAATGCCTCTTTACTGTTTTTAAATATGCATGACAATGAGCACTCCCCTTGGATAACTTTTACACAGCTAACCTGCTCTTCCTTCCATAAGATGATCAACCCACCAGCCGACCCCATTGCAGGAGTGAAAAAACCAATCCTTCTCCTTAACACTCCATAGGTTGTCAATAACATCTTTGGAAAACACATCCACTTTAATTTCCTATAAACAAATGACCAAAGGGTTCCATTTTTTTAGACACCCTCTAATGATGAGTCGTTTGCCTCTGTTGTTCTCCCCACCAACATTCCATGATATAATTCTACTAATCATTCTCAAATCAACTGAACCCCAGCAACTTCCTTACTATCTCCTTTCCTAGCATCATAGTTTATAGTCGATTCTCATCTTTTTAACTCCCTAGAAGAACCACCCCCCAATTTTTTCTGTCCTTTCAAACCAGATCCTATTTTCTTCTTCAAAATTTTCCTCTTTTCGATTTCAGAAAAGAAAAAATAAGATAGATTTTCCATATCTGCTAGAGACACCCCCATCATCTTCCCAAATTTTTGAACATACTGAGAGTAGTAATCAACATCGCTAGTAGACAGAGTAACGCCTTCTAGGCTCAGCTCAATAATCTCTTCTAGTTCCAATTTATGTACAGATGCAATCGTCTAAGCTTCTTTTTCCACCATGAGCAGCTCCAGGTTTTTCATCTCAGTCTCCTCTACTGGAACTTCATTCAACAACCTCCCATCTCCCTTAAAGTCCTCCATGGTAGAAAAGACCAAACATAAATCATCTTCATCCTTCTTTGTAACCATAGAAAACACATCTACCTCGATGCTCGTACCACCCATCGAAGTAATCTCTTCACGGAACCCTAATTTCTCCCGTACCACCCATCGAAGCTATTTTTGGTGCATATCCCTATAATAGTTAAAAGGTAAGAACCTTTAAAATCTCATGATAGATTTTATCTCCCTCCAAGTTGAGACAGGTTGGTCTCTGTTGTGCCTTCTGCTAGTTAGCAGCTGATCCCACCATACTAGAGCATAGTCAATGAATTTGACAGCGAATAGCTTTACTTATATTTCTTTGCTATAGTTGTGACAATCAAAGATAAGTTCTACCTTTCGTTCCAACTCCAGGTAGGTTTCATCATCATTCTGTCTCTTAAAAGGTGGAATTTGTATTTCGATGGAGCTGATGTTGTTATCTCTCCTGTTCTCCCTACATTAATCTCGGTCATCATCTCTTTCATTCTTATCACAAGATTCGACACCATCCCGTGGGAGGAGGCACCTTTCCTAGGGTGGGCTATTGTTTCTTCGCCTCTTTCCATCAATCCTTACTATTAGATTTTCAATTTCCAGATTGAGTCGTGTAAACATGGTGCCTACATGCTTCCTTAGGTTGGCTAGACTATTATTTTCACTTGGTTGAGACATTATGAAATTCTTGCTAGAAAATGTTAGTAGAAAATAACACTCCCTCGCAGATCTTTCGTGTTTTACTCATCTCATAATTTTTTTCTCTTGAGTTGAATGTCAGAATTGACTTTTCTTTAATCAAAGTATCTAAGTTTTGGCTTAAGACACTGTAAGGAACCCAAGAGAGAAATTTGCGACACCAATTTTAAAGCTGGAGTTTAAATACACAGATGAAGATGATGCGTGTTATATATAAGGCTAAGTAACTGGGATACAATTAATTACTTAGTAATGTAATAGAATACAAACACAATGAAAAAAAAAGAAACTTACTGTGCAAGAAAAGATGCTATGAATATGATTTTTTTTGTTTTTGTTTTTGACGGTATGATAGATATGAATGGATGTAAATTATGTCTTTTTTTTCTTTTACTATGAAGAATAATAAATATGCAAGGATAGATTATATAAGATGGTAATATTTATCTAGTGTTTAAGCTCTAATATCAAATGATGCATAACTCACGATCAACAAGTGCCATCGAAAATCCACACATATAATTTTAGCATGTAAAACTTAAATTCCTGAATAAACCTTCCCTGCTCAATTCACAATCAATCTATGATTGCAAATTAAGGTAATTGAGAAAAGCATAAAAATTAGTAAGACACACGAGAGTTATCTCAATAAGTAGAATCAATTCTTCACTCAACGAAACTATTGAAGAAAACCTCCCAAAAAGCACTAGGCGAAAGCTAAATTTTGAAAATATTTAAAATTTTATTGATTTGAATTGATGTGTTTAAGCAATGAGGCCTTTATATAGCCATAGACCTTATTAATCCGAGTAGAAATCGAAAACTAAATTTTAGGAGACTCTAAATAAAATCTTATATAAGATCCCAATTAAAAATCAAATTAAAGACCCATAAGTGAAATAAAACTCTTAAGCAAACAAGGACTCTAACTGATGTGATCCTAGACACGTAGGAATAACAAGTTCCGAATGACCATGGAAAGCATGCTCGGAGGCAAGGAGATAACCGTGTCCACAAGGAACGCATAGGCAAAGCTGTCTGCGTGCACAAAGACAGCACGAGAGACCGCCTACGCACGCACAGAGGCAACACATGCACACCCAACGCGCGCACATGGAGACCTTGCAGGTAAGATATCCTGCACCTATGGGGATTCCCGATCTTGTGGAAATTTGGATTCCTATTTCCTTTTGAATCTCAACACCTCCAACTTCATCAAGGATTGGAGTTTTGGTCCAAGATTCATTCTTCCATCAATCGAACACCAAAATCTGTCCATGAAACATCAAGAAAACCGGTTCAATATTCTTGAAAGGAAGATCCCAAGAAACCGGCTCAAAGACATCCCCCAAGGATTCCACCTCTTGGCTCAAAGGTATGCAAGTCAAGAATGTCGATTAAAGGACCAAGATCCATCAAAAAGAGGTCTAAGAAAGCAAGACAAGGTTCGGCCATGCAAGATTTCAGCCTTAGGTCCATATGGCCGAGAAGGAGGAGGAAGGAAGCCTGCCCCTGCGGCCGTTCTCCCTTCCTTTATGATTTCCGAATACTTGTCACTTTGGGAGGTCCAAAACTCCCTAGCCAACTTAAAGACCACCTAACAAAAAGAAGAATACAAGGAGGAGTCGGACATAAGACTCCTAAAGAGAAAACCTGCAGAAAAAGAAGAAAAATCTGAAAGGAAAAAGAAACCTGCCAAGAGGAAGCTAAATCCGAGAGGGAGAGACAAATCCATCTTCCATTCCAAAGCCAAAACCAAGAGGTCCTCTCCCACTCAAAGACCAGATCTAATCTTGGAGAGTTGTACGTGGATAAGGAGCTTTCTTTCCAAGAGAAGAGGAGAAGAATTCAGAAAAGAAAAGGAGATCAAAGCCTCATCCCATTCGGCCAAGACTTACCTCTGCTTACCGAATTCTCCTTCACTTCTCCTACTTCAAAGCCGCCATCTATAAAGCTACTCCAACTCAAAACTCCTCTCAAGAATCAATTAAGAAAGAAGAGTCCCAAATTGAAAGCATTAAGGAAGTCTAATCCGAGGAAAAGACTCAACTCGGCCAAGAGAGAGACAGACTATTTATTTGTTTTTTATTTTCTTTTTAAGTTAATTAATCTAATCCTAGTCTAAGTCCTAATAAGTGTTTAATTAGAAATTAGTTTTCTGTTTTCTAGTAGAATAAGCATGGTGGATGCCAATATAAGGGGACCACCCTTTCAATTGTATTTAATTCAATTAAAAGTAATCAATGATATTCCAATTTATTACTTTTAGCTAATTGTAAGTGCTCTTTAAGAGGGTGTCTTCAACCATCTTGCTGAGCAACGGGTTGATTTTACTTATCAAGATATTTCCCTTATGGCGTTTTATTAATCCATCATTGAATTGATTTTACTTATCAAGATTAATTCTTGTAGGGTTTAATCAATTTAATTTTTAATCCAATTATCGTGGTTGACATTGACAAGTTGAATATAGGTCAAGTAGAGAGAGTTTATCGAGAGTTTTTAAGATTTTGAATACTAGAGTATATGTGAGGTTTTTGACTGCGTTTGTTGATTTTAGGTTCTGTATCACTAACTACCATGATTATCTCAAATTCTTAAGAGATCATGGTTCATAAAATAAAACTCTTTAAAATAAAGAATATAATAAAATTATAAGGATTCTTTTGTGGTTGTCCATCATGGTCTTCATTTTGGAGATTTGGTTATGATGGATAAGCACTCTTGAATCATACTTGAAGTGGAATCCAAATGCGGTAATAATTCGAACAAGTAAACAACTCTCAGCCTTGATACTTGGTTAAGACTCCTTATGCAAATTGAATTTGAAAACCAAGTCGGCGGCTTTAGCTTGGAATCCCGGCCAGATTTTGTGGGAGAAAATCTTGGATTCTCTACATACTTTTCTACCTCCTTTTGGGTGAGAGAACTCAGCTAGGACTCTTGGAAAAAGTCGGCTCCCATGTTTGTAGGCATGAAAAACCCAAGAGTCCTTCATGGTGAAAACTATTTTGACGGCCCTTGCTTGGAGATTTCTTGGAAGAGATTTGGCTGAACTTCCCTAGGTGTTAGGACTCTTAAATGGCCGGTTTGTGAAGAGTTGGAAAAGGAGAAAAATTCTTGGAGAAAAATTCTTGTGAAAGGCTGGCCGCTTGTGATGAAAAAATTAGGAGAAAATTTCTATTTAAGTGAGAAAATTTCTCATGTGCAAATCTAAGCTGTCCATAATTTTGAGGACTCCTTTTTGCTTGGGTTTGAAGAGTTGGAGGAGGATAAAACTCCTTAAGGATGAGTGGCTGAGAGTCCTTGAGGTGTAGGATTCTTTAAAGGTCAGTTTTGCTCTTGTTGTAGGACATGTTCTTGGCCGCCTCTTCCTGTTGTTTGATGGGCTTGGCTTTCTCCTTTCAAGGCCTTTAAAGTTTGGCCCAAGTCCAGTTTGAATCATATCTAAGCCTTTTCTTTCTTGGCCATCACGTGTGTGCAGTTTAGAGCCCAAACTGTCTTGATCACGTATTAGATAGCCTTACCTGAGACTTGGATGGATGGAAAGGTTTCTTGAATGTTCCATGCCGTTTAGGATCTCATTAGAGAGAGACCAATAAAGGAGTCAAATCCTTATCCATTCTCCAATTTCGATGAGGTACAAACTTGTGCCTTCAATAGGCTTATACCATTTTCGTTTGCATCCAAATTAACTAATAATCTACTACAGCTGGTAATCCGTTTCTTCCTCATCTGTTACTATACTGAATATTTGTAATTCTACTATATATTACTAAAATATAGAATCTTCACGACAATTGGTTTATATGCGTCAAAGTCTAAACCCAGTTTCAGTGTTTAATACATTAATATGAAATCTCTTCTGGACTGCTTGCTGGTAACTATGTACACTGCTTGCAATTTGTGTGACTAAACTGGTTTTCTTTTTCTTTGTTATTGCATTTGGACCAGGTCACTCCAGCATCTGGCATGATCAAACCAGATCAGATAGCAGAGGTGTCAGTACATCTAGAAGATTCTCCCACCCTGGAAGAATTTGTTGATGGTATCCCTCAAAACTCGTGGTGTGAGGTCACTAAAGACAAGGAAATTATATTGGTGGTTAAGGCTCGTGGCAGTTACTCTACTGAGCCAAAAAATCACCGGATTCGTGTTCGCCACTGCCTCTCTGTTAAGTCTACTACTGTAGACCATAAACCTAATGGTTCCAAGCAAACCCAGCCAAATCTGCTTCACCGTTCTGATTACCAGCGTTTTAGCAGTTCTTATGATGTGGTTGACCACTTAAAAGATTTGCATAGCCCATGAAGTGCTAAGGATGTTCTGTGAAGTTGTATGCTCTTATCGTTGAAGACATGATGGATAAATGTTCTGTTGCTTTACTATAGGGATTCTCCAATTCAATTATTTAGAACAAAAAGAAAAAAATTGGGGAAACTCACAAATGAAGTGTCCCATATAAAATTGGGAGCACGCTTGCCTTTCTATTCGTACAAGCTCAATTTTGTCAATATGCTCGCCGCAAGTTTATGGATCTTAACATCTGGGCATTCCCCAGTTTGCCCAGTTAGTACGTGTGCAGCTTGTGGAGTTTCACGGTCTCAAATTTGTTGTCTGAAATGTACAGTAAGAGCAAGTTAAACATTTACAGCTAGAAGTGTGAATATTTTTTTTATTTGTTGTCATATGGGATGCATTCTATCAAGTAAAGCATTTATTCGTGTTTTTAATCATTTTACGAGAAGTATACGGTTGCAAGCTGTTGAAGTAGTATTTGCTTTTACTTTTGCAACTCTTGACATTGCAATTTCTGTTATAGCATTTGTTAATATGTTGTAACATTATGATGGGTTTTAATAATTATTTTAGAGCTTTATGATGTTGCTGATTGATGGAGCCTAAAAATCATGTCTAAAATTGGTTAGTATTTTCTTTTACTTTTGCGACTCTTGACGTCGCAATTTCTGTTATAGCATTTTTTAATATGTTGTAACATTATGATGGGTTTTAATAATTATTTTAGAGCTTTATGAGGTTGCTGATTGATGGAGCCTAAAAATCATGTCTAATATTGATTTGATATCAATTTGATTTCCTTCTTGAATTTTCCAGTTGTAGTTTTCTTTTCTTGGCCGAATAAACGAACTCCTCTCCTATCATTATCTGGTAAAATTTTGGTTATACTTTGCTTTTGCTATCTTATTGTAATTATTACGATATATAGGTTGTACAAAGTTCAGGGGAGCTCTAATGCTGTCTCAGACCGGTCCTCAACACAACAGTTCAACTTATTCAGAGAAGCTATATAAATAATTTGTATTGTTTCTCTTACTGCTAGTCCGGCTTGTAATCTGAAACGACCTTGTGGTGGGTAAATTAGTTGAAGAATAGGCCGAGGATCTGATCTAGCTTTGTTGTGGACTAAGAATGTGTGCTGTAAATTAATCCTTTGAGTAATTAACAGCTGCATGATAGCTAAATTATTAAATAAGTGTAGGTCCTTAACAAACAGATACTACCGCTGGTGAGCCTTATGTAACGTACCTCTCAGGTCTTAACAATCAGTTTCCACCCTTGGGAGCCTTATGTAATGTACTCTCAAGCAAATTGTCATAATTTGAAGTCGCAAATTTTACCAAGTTTTACCATCTATCACAATTTGTTTTCTTACATACTATTTTTTTTAAAATCATTTGTTAAAATATGTAATTAATGTGATCATACTAATATATTTGTTCTATTTTGGTTCTGAATTTGGAAATAAATTATATAAAAAATTCAGTAAAAATTGCTAAAGAATATGTTTGTTGAAGATGAATAATTTAAGTTAATAACCTATTATTATTATCAATTTATATAGTTTTTATTACATAAATATAAATAGAACTAATAGTAATATATAATATCATATAATATAATTATTAGTATTTATAAATTTGAATATATATTTTTCTAAAAAAGATAAATTAAATATTATTAATTAAAATAATTATTCTAATGATCATAAAACAAGTGATAATTAAATAATAAATATAAAAAATATATAAATTAAAATAATATTAATTATTTTAAATTTGACATACAAATAATTCAATTGAAGTACGTTATATTTATGTTTACTGAATTATATTAATTAAAGATATAATTAAAAAATTAAATTTTTTTTTTTTGGATGTGGTAACACTTATCCCCAAGGTTTTTATGTAAGAGACATGAGCTGTTATTGTTATTTCTTGAATTTACGAGGAGGGGCTCCGAATGTACGTAGTCCATAGCAATTTGATTTCTGCAAACAAAGTTAGAGAAGCCCAAATTGGTGGTTGGTACAGGATGCTCAACCAGGTTATTTACCGTACACATCCCTTTTTCCAGATTGCCTTATGTACATGTATATATATATATATATATGTATATATATATGTCTTTTTAAAATACAAAATAAAAGGATCGCATTAATGATCTCATTTATACATATGTGTATATATATGTATACATACAACTAGTAGCAATTCTATGCACATTGTAAAACAAACGATGTCAATACTGCAAATTAAGTTGTATATATATAAATATACACAAAAGAAAACAAGCCAATAGGAACTAATTTCGCGTTCACTTGTAACTTGTTTAGAATAGGAATTAATGTTACTAGAATAAGATAATAGGAAAACATCAATATTCATTAAGGATTTTTTAGAAACTAAATTAGAAAATAATTAAGCAATTTCCTAAACAAGCATCAACCAGCTCCTCTATAAATATATGTTTGCTTTTAATTTATTCTCATTTCAATCTTAAATTGGACTATTTACTTTAAATTTTTCAGTCGCTATTTCCTAAAATACTTGTTGTTTTTTAATATTTAATTACTTAATTTGAAGATAAAATATGAGAGAGATCTTAAAATTCATTAAACAAATTTTTACTAACAAGGATGATGGTGTTGCACAACTTATTGTTAGCGAAAATACTGATCTTGGTAAATCTCAACCTTAGATGTAATTAAATTGTTGAAGAAGAAAATAAGTTAAGCTATTAAAGAAAAAGTAAATCAACACATTAAAGAGAAATAAATTGAGGCACAGAAAAGAAAGTATTAAAAACGAAACAAAATAGGATATTAAAGAAAAAAATGAAAATATAGTTATACATCTATAATTAATTATAATTAATTGTCTATTTATTTTTCTATTTTAAAAAGCTTATATATATAGGATCGTAATACTTAACAACATACATTAATCATAACTATTATTAAAATTAGAGTTTTAGGTTAAGTTTAAACTCTTTCAATAATCCTATTTAGCCTTCGTTGCTGAAATAAAAAAGCGTAAAAGGAGTTTGCCTTCATAGCCAGCCATTACCCTCCTGCTGCCAGACACCACCAGTCAGCCTTCATAGTCGACCCTAAAATCAACTGTTGCCCTCTGCAGTTGCTAGTCTCCAAGCACGCACTATGGTGCACAGCTCTCTCTGTCGCCTTCACCATTACCAAACGCAAACGACTTCATGCAGCCACATGTTTTGGGTAAAAATTTTGCAGTACTTTTTTTCTACAATTAATTACTATACAATTCTTAAAGAATATTGGAGAGTACATCTCAAGTTAAGGCTGTAACATCCCAAACCTTTGCACCTCAACTATGGTTAAACTCTATTTTAAATCAGAAATTAATTTGTTGGTATTTTAATTATTAATATTTATGCATTATAAATTTTATTATATTTTATTAAAATTAGTATTTTGTATATTATTGAATTTGTTTTAACTATTATTGTAAGTATTTTCAAAAAATAAGAGAAAAGAGGAGAAAAGAAGAAAAACCAGAAAAATGGGGAAAAATCCCCTGGAACCTGCGAGAAACAACCCGTGCGGTCGCATCGTGTGGGCCTGCTTGTCAGTGCCTGCGTGACACTGTGCACACATGTCCGCCCATTATGTGCATGGACGTGCTCGCAAGCAGCCTACACGCGTAAGTTGCGCACTACGGGCAACAGGGCATGCCCACGCGCGAATAGTTACGAGCTGTAAGCTGCACAGGGGCACGCCTTGCATGTGGACTTGACAAACCGCGGACACATCCCGTTCACTGCCTGTTCCCCCATGCCGTAAGGGTCCCACTGCTGGTCACTTGCTCCCTACTCACCACGTGTCCTGGGATGCTAGCCACGTGGTGTGCATCTAAGCCTTATCTATGCCTATTTAAAGGCTCATTTTTCCTCATTTCCCATACTTTATTTCTTCTTCCACTTTTACTTGCTAGAGAGAGATTTTGAAGAAACAAAGAAAGAAGTTTTAGAGTGAGAAAGAGGAAATTTTAGAGAGAGAAAAAAGTAAAAAAAAAAAGAAAAAGTAGGAGTTTAAGGAGCTTGACCAATGAGTACTAAAGGTCATTCTTTTTCCTTCTTAAAGACCTTTTTGACTTTAGTTTCGATAAAAGATTCTTTAGTATTTCTTTTTACATTTTTAAGTACATTTTTTAGATAAATTATATTGGGATATTGCTTGGCTTGATGCACTAATTACTATATTTGTTGACATTTATTTTATTTAAATATGAAATGTGAGCTGATATGCATGAGGATTACAGAAATAAGGTTCTGAAATGCATGTGGGATTTGCTTATTTACCTTACCTTTGGTAATGGTAAAGAGGGTTATTTTAGGAGTCCTGCCTTTGAGGAATATCTCGATGGTTAAGTCCGGGTACTATGGATCATGTGCTAGATATATTAATGGACCCTCACCGAGTTTCAGATATATGATCATAAATGTAGCCCTTAGGCCAAATATGTTATTGAACTCCACCAGGTTCAGAACATATGATTGATATGAAAACTGAATAAACAAGTAAAAAGAATAAAAATCTGTTTAACTATTATCTCTGAGGAATTTCTGTATTTCCCTACTCTATGATCTGAAAAGATTGTTGAATCGTTCTTTGTGAATAATAACTTTCCCTCTGGCGAGAGTGGATTCGACTGCATGTATAGGAGTCATAGTGGTGATGTACTATTGTGATAATTAGATTATATCTGAAATGGATATAGAAATAGAATTAGCTTTCCCTCTAATGAAAGGGGATTCGCGATGGTATATAGGGCCATAGTGGCGACGTACGACTATGGTCATTAGTTTATACTGATATGAAATAAAAATTGATTGTCATTCATAGTGGTAATCGGGGATTGTCTACCATTAGTAGATATATGTTTTGAATGACTTCGTGCTGAGATCGGTAAAAGACTTAAATAAAACACAACCATCAGTAGGATAGTTTTGTATGATAGTTCTTCTAATTATTTTGAAACTATTGAATATTCTGATATGCTTGATTACTTAGTACACCTACTTACGATATTGGCTATTTACCCTCTCTGCTTGGTTCTATAATCTTTTCACTAGATTTTTCTTAAGAAAGAGAAAAGTTAAATGATTGAATATGTTCATCAGGCGACAGCCCTCTGAGGTAAGAGGTTTATATGGAAATATTGTTCAGGTTAATTACTTTTTAAACACTAGCTGTGTGGTTTAAATAATGATTTCCTTACTGAGTTTACATAAAACTCACCTCTAATCCGTATTCCTCCTCTTAGATGATGTGGAAGTTGAGAAATTGTTTCGGGGATTGCCTTTAGAAGCTTATTTGGAGCTGTTCGCAGATCTTTAGTGAATCTCTAGAATGTAATTCGAGTGCAATAGTTTAGTCAGCACTCTGGTATAATATTTTGTAAGAATTTTATCCTTTCTATTTGATACT